TATATATATATATATATATATATAAAATACAGGGTGGGTCATTTTAATCGGACCAAGCAAATATCTCGATAAATATGGAAGATACGAAAAAATGTTTCAGATAAAAGTTGTATGATTTAGAGTGGGACATAAGATGGAACCATTGGTTTGACCTTGGATAGTCGTTTGAAAGTCACTTGAAGATCATCTTCAATTTCTTAAATGGAAATCCCTATTTTTCATTGTCCATTCTTGTAGCTTACCTAGAGAGATTTGCAAAACACTAAAAATCAAATATTTTTTCATTAAATACTTCTCAAGTTATAAGACTCGAATGTTACAGTATACTGACGGCATTAACATTACCCAAGGTATCCGACGAGTAAAACCTTTTGAATGTTGTTCAGAGTCTGTTCTATCTACACACGAAACATTTTGCGATTTTTTTCTGACACCCTGTATAATTATATAAAATTATATATAAATATATATAGTTATATACAATAATTATATATAAAATATTTTTTCCCGGGATAACATTAAACTTTGAAAAGATTGACTTTTAAATTTAAAAACTCGTAATTAATTAAGATAAAATGAACTAATTAAAATATAAAATAAACAACTTTCAAGGGTTATTTATTTCGATTTCATTTTTGCTATAATACAATATTCGTTCTTCTTTTTACAAGAGTTTTCAGAAAGATTTCCGCGCACGCGCGATCCATTTAAGAGTCACACGAATATTCATTCCGAATTACATATGAAACACATAGACTGCATGAACGCATCAGACGCATCAACTGCCTCAAGTCAAAAGAGAAGCAGTCAGTGCGCTGGGAGGAGTGTTAAGAATTCAGTACGGTTAGTACAATCTGGGGAATTCGTAGCACTTTCGAAGCGCGCAATAGCTAATTTGGAACGACTTTCTGTGCGGTCTGCGCGCTTCATGCGTGACTCGGAACGCACCCATAGTGCGTAAGCGAATCAACTAATTAGAATCTTTCCTTTCCTCCCATTCCATGAAAAAGAAGAATTTCGATTGGTTGATTCCTTTAAGCAATATGCATTATGCGTTATGCAAGAGTCTGTGCTGCAGCCATTAGGATCATTCCACACAACTTGCAGAGCCGCATAACCATATGCATAAAGAAAATTATCCAATCACATTTCTATCAACAGACAAACGTAAACTACGATTGGATGATTTTCTTTATGCATATGTTTATGCGACTATGCAAGTTTGTGTGGAATGCCCTTTATGGCCGCAGCACAGACTTTTGCATAACGCATAGTGCATAAGCGAATCAACTAATCAGAAGCTTTCCTTTCCTCTCATTTCATGGAAAAGAAGAATTTCGATTGGTTGATTCCCTTATGCACTATGCATCATGCGTTATGCAAGAGTCTGTGCTGCGGCCATTAGGGCTTTCACACATGAAATGCATAACAGAGCATAAGCATAACACAAGACTGCTGGACCAATGAGCATCTAGCATAATGTCGCCATATTGATTTACATAAGATGCTCATTGGTTTAGCGGCCTTATGTTATGTTTATGCTCTGTTATGCGTTTCATGTGTGAAGCCCTTTAAGCGGGGAGCACAGACTCTTGCATAACGCATAACACGTAATGCATAAGAATATGTACCAATCGAAGTTCTCCGTTTCTTTTCCTTCCATGTAATAGAGAACTCTGGTTGGTTCAATTTCTTATGCCTCATGTGTCATGCGTTAAGCAAGAATCTGTGCTCCCCGCTATACTTTCGATTACCAGTACCGTACTGATATTGTCGGCAAGAGCTGTGCATACAAATTTCATCTACCTACTCCCAAAACTCCTCAATACCGTTCTCCGGTAAAAGCAACTAGCTATTTTCATTCTTTTGCATCTAATTCAAAAGTCTCAAGTAAAAAACACAGTCCCCGGACCGTCGACGTCCGTGCGACCAATTTCATCTTCGTATATTTCAACTGTAATCGCAGAATCATCGGAATGTCGATGAAAACCAGTGAGTAACCTTCAATTAATCATTAATTTATCGTCCACTTTATTGCCAAAGATAAATAAATAGTCCCATTCGAGGCTAAAAATTGACTTTAGTTTGATCAATTTAATTAAAAATATTCCAGTTAATATTTTGGTAATTATGCAGTATAAGGGACTACCATCCAATGATCTTGATTTTGACATATGTTGTTAAGGTCATGACCCCGAGTAACCTTGAACAAATTTTAGCCGTCGCTCATTGTTCGTTAAAAGGTTGTTAAAAAAGTTCATTAAAAAAAGTGGTTTTAAAGCAAATAAGAATTTGTGTTTGTAAAAAGCAGACATTCCTAAAAAAAGAACTAAATATATCATCACACACAGCAGTTGATTGGACTAACTTTTGCAGAGAGGTAATTCAATAATAACTATAATTTAATAATAACTTGGTAAAACTACATAAATGGGGAACAATTTGAATTGTTTATAAAGCAGGAAATTTGTGTTTTTGAAGTAAAATATTTGTATTTTTGAAACAGAAAACTTGTATACTTAAAAAATTCTCTACTTTAATAAATATTCAATTACAACAATCTGACTTTTTAGCTCATGAATCAATGGTTAACAAACAATCAAAGTCAAATTGGCGGAGAAGGAATTATTGTCGAAATTAAGACAAAATTATATAAGAAAAATTATATAAGTAATTATATAAGAAAATATTTTGCGCTGTTAAAGCAGGAAATTTGTTTTATCAGAGCGTAGTCATATCCAAAAGTTAAGTTTTATTGATGAACTTTTTTTGTTAATAACTTTTTAGGGAACAACAAGTAACTGCTAAAATTTGTCCAAGGTCACTCGGGATCATGACCTTGACAATATATGTCAAAGTCAAGGTCATTGCAGGATAGTCCCCTATACTGCATAATTAATAAATTTTTTTTTTTAATAAAAAAGACAATAAATTTCTTTTATGAAAGCGATTGAGTCGCCGTTGGCGAACATAACATCCGAGATCGAGGAACGTCGATGTGATCTGATTGACCGTCAGCAGCAGCTAAAGAACAAAGTCGTCACAATGGAACGCTCCATCCCGGCTATAATGGCATACAACATGTGGAAAGCCAAGCAAGATTGTTGTGATGGGCCATACGATAAAGTACGAGAGATCATAAATATATTTGCGCCACAGTCAGATCCTGCCGACAAACTCGTCACCGAATTGAAGAGCGTGGTCCACAGCCTCCATCAGGAAACGGCACAGTTGCATGTACGACACGATTGACATTCGACGATAAGAATCCGGGTAAATCTTGCCAGTGTGCTTTTTTTTAACGAAAGAATTATGACTCGTGTTCTTAGCACGTTATCCGTACCGTTATGCTTTGTGGTTTAAGGAAGACTGGAGTATCATAGGCTACAAAATTACTTAAACTCTTAAAAATACGATAATATTATTTTCTTGCTCAAATATATAAATACAAATGAATAGCAAGATAGGTCATACACGAATTTAAAAAATAAGATAATATAAATATTGGGTATGGGAATAAGTTTCCGCCCTCTTTTAATGAAAAAGATGTATTTATTTATACAAAACAATACAAAGTAAGTTCATTCAAAGTATGCTCCATCAGAAGCGACAACTTTCCCCCACCTTTCAGGTAATAAACAGATTCCTCGAAGGAAGAAATCTGGTTCTTTTGAAGCGATCCATTTATCAAGCCATTTTTTGATATCTTCATAAGAATTGAATCGCTCTCCAGAAAGGGCCGACAACATGGACCGGAATAAATGGAAATCTGAAGGAGCAATGTTTGGTGAATACGACGGGTGGGGCAGAATTTCCCACTTCACTCCTTCCAAGTATTTCTTGACCGGTTTTACAACGTGTGACATAGCGTTGTCACATAGCAGAATCAGCTTATCGTGCCTATTGTCCCATTCCTATTATATTTGTTTCAAAACTTAGTTCAAACAAATCGCTTCGAACGAATATCAGCTATTGGGCTCAAAAGCTTGAACACACACCTTTCAAATACATGTATTGCCGTTTTATTAAACACACAAACAGTGCTACTAACGACATCTCTCTAATGGGCGGAAACTTATTCCCATACCTAATATAATAGATAAAAAATGTTGAAAATTAAAAATTAAATCTTCTTTATGTAAAATGTGTCAAAGCTTTCTTTGTTTAAAGGTGAGAAAAAATCTTTCTACAAAATCTATTTACAGAATTAATTTCTCAAAAATTAAGTAAGTTTTTGATTCCTTTTTCAGTGTAATACTTTTAATTTATTTATATTTATACATTGATATACCTTTTTAACTGTCAGATTCTTATTGACCATTGACTTCATTTTTCTTACGACATAAAATAATCTTATCTATTTGACTCCATTTAAACTTTCTGAAGGTGGCTTAAAAGTATACAATATATAAAAGAGCATATAGCCACAGCTAAAGATGGTTTTTTAGAGATAAATAATATATTCCGAATTAATACGTTAACATGTAATATTGTATATGTTTCAAACGTTGTTTGGCCAACACAGGATTTCCAAATTCTGTGTTTTCGAAAATCACAGGATTTCCAGATCTTGTGTTGGCCAAACAACGTTCTATTAATATTATACTTCAACCATTATAAGACAAAATTATTATATGAGAACCAAATATTAATTTGCAATGAACAACATTATAACATCGAAGCAATGACATACGTAGAAGACATCCACTATTAATCTAATTGTAACACCAACGTTCTGTACTGATGATGGTCAAATCTTTACCGAAACGTATACAATAATATTATATGTTAACGTATTAATTCGGAATATATTATTTATCTCTAAAAAAAACATCTTTTGCTGTGACTATATGCTCCTTTATTGTATATTTATATTTGACTCCACTTTTTCTCGTTTCTACTTTGAACGAAGCTTTGACAACTCTTATATACCCATGCAGCACAGAATTTGCAGCAATATTACTGCAAAATTTATGCAGTATTGTTACAACATGCAATGTTTTTAATAATTTGTAAATAACTTTTTTATTTACTTTTTATTTCTTATATGTATAACCATTCTTATTATTTCAATGGCTGAGGATGACCAACTAAGTAAAGTCGAAACGTTCCATTTATTAATCATTGTAAAAACACTCTTAAATCTTTTATGACATAGATTAATATCTTAATAAATATTTATATTATCTTATTCTTCAAGCTCGTGTTTGACCTATCTTCCTATTCGTTTGTCTTAAAAATATTTTTTTAAATAAAGATTTCTTGTCTCTTAGTTTTTTTATATAATTACGGGATAAATATATAAATTAGGGGACTACCTCAATGACTTTTACCTTGACATATGTTGTTAAGATCATGATCCTGGGTGACCTTGAGAAAGTTTTAATATCTTATTTCTGCTATATAAAATAAATTCTCAGATTTAAAATAAACTTAAAATAAATTCTAATTTAAAATAAATTTTCTTCTTTAAAAACGACTTTCCACGCGAAGCGAGTTCCATCCCACCCCCTGCTTCAGGGGCGCACGACTTCCATGCGAAGCGACTTTCACTTCCCCCTTGCTAAGGGGCGCATGACTTTCCACGCGACGAATTTCATACATTTTTCATTTTAAATGAAGAGTCATTGCAAAATCATAAACTTTCTGCTTTAAGAACAAAAATGATATAAGAAAATAATGTTTTGGAAGCAGAAAATTTATGTTAAAATTGAACATTTTTGTTTTGTATAGCAGAAATGAGACATTATTTCTTAAACATTTTTTTGTTCATAACTTTTTAACGAGTACCGTCTGACAGTTAAAACTTTCTCAAGGTCACTCAGGGTCATAACCTTGACAACATATGTCAAGATCAAGGTCACAGGGCGGTTCCCGTAATCTACACCTTTTTAAAAAAAGGTAAAAAAAAGACGCCAAGTGTTCATGTACCTTCCATAAAAAAATGTACTTTACATAAACTAAAAAAAA